TCTCTCTCTCTCTCTCTCTCTCTCTCTCTCTGTGTGTGTGTGTGTGTGTGAGACGGACCCCGTTGAGGTTGGTGCTTTATTGCACCACGAAATAACCTACAAGGCTACAAGAGAAAAAAAAAAAAGGAAATAACGTACAAAACAACAAGCGAAAACTCGGAAAAAGCTTATTTTGGCTGGTTGCTTTTTTTTTTTCATTTCTAATTAAAAAAAAGATATATTATTCGAGAAAAAAAAAGAAAACAAATGTGGGAAGTTACCTTCCGATGACCCCCACCCTCCTATAAAAAAAAAACATAGCCCCCCAACCAAAAAAAAAACAAAAAAAAAAAACCCGCTCTCCGTGAACTCCATGAACTCCCGTGTCGTGAACTCCATGACCGGTCTCCGGTCACAGACCCCGTGAACAATGAAGGGGGGTACGGCACTGATTCTCAGTAGATTGGCAAAAAACAGATCTTAAACAGGATAATTTTGAAGGACTAAATGGCAAACTTGAAGGATGTAAGAAAAAATGGATTTTGGTGGTTACTCATTTATAGAACTTTAAGCCACTTTCAACAGTTAGGTAAAAACCAAGCTCTACTAAAACTAATTTATACAACTATAAATCAAATTTGGAGTTAACAGTAAGACCCTTATAAAAAAATATAGAGAAAACTACGGCACACTCAGGGTTTGAGTTTGTAATTGCAGTTGAGTCAAAAGGGCCGGTAATGCTGAATGTATATGACCTACGTTTCGGGTCCGGTGGGGTCGCGTGGGGGTGTGTTGTATTCGCCGGATTGCCTGAAGTGCAATAACAAACTGTTTTCCTGACTGCGCCAAAGTTACCCCAAAAATATATGTTATTTAAAATAACAATACAAACAACTTTTAACTAGGATACATCTTCAAATTCTTAGCCAAACACGAGTTTAAGATAAAAAAAAACTTGGAAAAAAAAAAGGTTAAAAATAATATGTTCGTCCATTTATGGGATAATATGTTTGAGAACATGTTTGCCATTTCAAAAAAAAAACCGAATCCGGTCATGGTGTTAAACATCTTATTCCCTCTGCACACTGTTCTCCTCCTGTTCTGGGTCCCCTACTGTCTGGGTTCTCTTGGCACCTGATTCTACCCAATGTCGTCCCTTTACTTGGACTGTCTTCTTCCTCCTGTTCGTGGTCCAGTACCTTCTGGGTGCTCCAAGCTCCTGCGACTGTCCAGTTTCTTCCCCGTGTTTCTCTTCTGCGTACCGCCACCACTGCCTTGTGCTCTTCTTCTGGATCTCCTGTGTTCGTCTCTGTCCATGGATCCCCTTGCTTTCCTATTAAGGGGACAAACTGTCGAAACATGAAGCCGTCGGGATAAGAAGCACCACAGAAAGAATGACCACGGAAAGAGCCGTTGCGATGACTGCAAGTTTAGCTGGCCCTAGTGGCAAACACTTACAGTCGTAATTCTTGACGAATGAGTCGCTTGCAAGGAGGAACAGAAGTGGAAATGGGTTGGAATCAATTCAGCCGTTGATCCGAGTCTTTCCGAGAGAAGGTCAAACTAAATTCAAAGTTATTCAACCAATCAAGCCCATGATTCTTTCAGATCCAGAGAGGCAGAGTCAGTCACCGACTTACCGACCTCTGAGACCGTGCTGCCCATAGTTCAATTGAATCCAGTCGTTGCTCTGAGACTCTCTCTCTCTCTCTCTCTCTCTCTCTCTCTCTCTCTCTCTCTCTCTCTCTCTGTGTGTGTGTGTGTGTGTGTGTGTGTGTGTGTGTGTGT